GGTGAAACATTTTCAAAATTCAGCACTTTGTTTCGTTCACTCATCCTGGTGTTTTACCTCAGTTACCACACGTACTGTATGTGTGTGTGTTTATTCGTTGGACAGTTGAACGTGTACCTCAGCTAGACCTAACATGATAGCCAGTGCTGATAGACAGGGTTTTAAACATCGTCGTGCTGTAACGTCATCAGCGTTCTCCTGATTCAACCTCATGGCATTTTAAACACTGAAGATTAGATAATGACAATTAATCGTGAGTCAAAAGCCTGGACACCATTATTGTCAACTCTTTTATTACGTTTGTGTATTGCCCACCTTTATCAGTGGACAGAGGTAAAATGACAGCCGTGGACTGGACTGGCCACAATAGCTAGATCCACATTTATGATCAAATCCTGCTAAACATTAGTGACTCAGTGTTAATGATTTATAATGTATAATTATACTTTTGGAAACTTCACTTGTCATTTCCCCAGATAACTGCTGGAGAATTCCATTTCTCTGAACATGTGTGTTTATTGGCCTTATTTTTCTTAATATTTAAACATTTCTTTGTCATTGACTTTCCTGTAGGTAGACTTCTGGCAGCCCAACAGTGTTTCCATGATCCATCCCAACAACACAGTGGACGTCCACGTGAAACACAGCCTCACACAGAGTCTACATGCGCACTTAAAACAACGACATATTGATTATCGGTAAGAACGGAACATGGAGGCAGACCAAGTCCATGTGCAAAAATCTGTGTATTCGGGACGATCTTTGTTATCAACGTGGCTTCACCAGGATTTGCATCTGCTTGCAATGCAATTATCCAGCTCGATCTGAGCACAAATTTATAATTTGCACATGTTGCGTTTGACAGAACAAACAGTGAAAAGACAGAGGTTTTTTTCATCACAGCCTGAAGATCCTATTGATGAGATAGACGTTACAGGCTCGTTCGAAGAAGTAAAATGGCACATCGGTAGATAAACATGGTGATAATTATGTCTCATTTTCTAAATATTTTATAGAAATTAGTGACAGAACTGGTATAATTTGAGCTTTGAGAGTAAATGCCATTGATGTGGAGGGAGCTGTAATTGGCGTCAGGAATGAGTCACCAGTGAATCAACCACTCAAGCCCAAGCTGAAATCCTCAGCATTTTCTCCTGAGCTAAATGGAACACGCCCCATGGATAATGAGAAGATGTTTGGTGTTCTCAGGGCAGTGCTTTGATGCAGTGACTTTAACAGGATCTCGCTCACAAACGTTCAGTCCATTGAGAACGTTAGGTCCTTGCCCAGGGATACAATAACATGTGTACAAGGGGAATAGAACGGCAACCCATGTTTAGTGTAGCCACTAAACTGGAGCTCATTAGAGTGTTTACACAGAGCATTAACACACGAGACCAAATGAGATCACACACCCTCGGTTTGTTCTCTGACAAATGAGTATTTACATAACAGGCTTCCGTAGCCCTGGTAATCCTGACAAATGAGCAGCAAACAGATTTGAAAGTAATTTATTCCTGAATAAATTCTACTGCCCTACTGTGCAGGGCCGAGCTAATAACTGTTAGTTGGGGGTACTACGAGTGAGAAGTGTCAAAATAAATCCACGTTGAGATCATTCGAGAGACATTTAATTAATTGAATGTGTCAAGCTCTATTATTAGTAACATATGGGATTATGACAAAGTGAAGCTGAGGACAGAATTATCATCTGGGAAGCTGACACCGTGCACACAAACAGGATCATTAGACCAAACTCACATATCAGAGTCAAACTTCAGTCGTTTGATAGTTTGTCAACAGTTTTCTGTCAATTTTTCCAGATCATTCTTCTTCTCTCGATTGAATGGTCTTCAGTTCCCTTCACAGATCTTTATAATGGACTTTAGGCCTGACCATTCTGTTGGCCTTCTTGAGATTGAACATACTGTCTTTTTACACGTTTTCCTGTTGTAACCCACATTCCAGTGAACTGTCTACGAACCTCTGACCTGTTTAAATGTCCTATAGATTCTATTAAAATGTTCTATAGTATTTGTGGTGTTTGTCTACAGTTGCTCTCTGTCTCCTGTCCGCAGGGTATTTATCTCCAATCTGCAGAAGGAAATTGAAAAGCAGACAGGACACCGCTCCACCCGCAAACGGAGGTCAGAGTCTGAGTACGACTACGAGGTTTACCACCCCCTGCAGGAGGTACAGTAGATGTGAAGCCCATCATCTCCGTGGATCTGTCTCCACTCCTTACACTCCGCTCTGCTCTGTCATCCAGTGTAGACAGAAGGCAAATAAACAACCACTCGAAGATGCTCCCTGACATGCAATTAGCCCATTCCAAACACTCAGACTGTGGCAGTCTGCTGCTGTCACACACCTGTGCAGGCTCATCTTCAGACACTCAGATCTGGAGTGTTTATTTTACCAGGTCTCTTATACTGGCAGTTCATGAACGTGTCAGAGGCTGAAAGAAGTTCTACACAAACATGCTGTCAACCGTTCAGTCCTCGATACCTTTAACTCCTTTTCACAAAAAATTGCAAGTATGCTTTCTTGTGAATCTAAACAGATTCACAATGTTGAAAAAAACAACATTGTGTCTATGAAACAATATTCTAAGAACTATAACTTTATTTAGCTAACAACAAGGGAAGAAGTGAAGTTAGCTGAGAAATAGCTCAAAAGTAAACATAGAAAATATTTTCTGCTCTTTCCTCTCTCACACATTACATTTTACACTTACAAATGTAATCAGACCTTTTTCCAAGTTTAACCAAGTCATGTGATCTGTCATGGCCCTTGTGTGTTCTGCAGATCCAGAGTTGGATGTTTGAGATGAACAGGACCCACCCTTACCTGGTCCACATGTTCTCTATCGGGAAGTCATACGAGGGAAGGCCACTGTACGTTCTTCAGGTAGGACAGATGGGAGGAGAGACAGTCGAAAATGTCACACGGTTATTTGTTTTTAGGATCATTTTAAAAACGGTTTTTGCCTCTTGTCAGCTAGGAAAGAGAAGCCGTCCCCAGAAGAAAGCTGTGTGGATCGACTGTGGCGTCCATGCCAGGGAGTGGATCGGTCCGGCCTTCTGCCAGTGGTTTGTGAAAGAGGTGGTCTTGTTTTTCCAGTCTACAAATTTTTTTTTTTAATGCACACAGTGTTTGACGTCATACATCTTGTATGCTTCTGAATGTTCTTCTGAATGTTCTCCAGACTGACTTCCTGCTGTACTCAGCCTGTGATGTTTGCTCTCCAGGGCCTTCAACAAAATGTGAACATCTGTTCACTTGTCAAGTGTTGTTATGAAAATACTTAGGAGAACCTTTTACTGTTCCGGTGCTGAGCATGACCCAGAGGTTTGCAGGAGTCCTATTACAGCCACACAGTTGTACTTATGTAGTACTATTTGAAGTATGGAGCTGGTAATTAACTACAGGTACCTTTAATGGCTGCTTTTATGCTGTGTAAATACCAGATGAGTGGGATTTTGCAGAGACAGCCAGTCACGATGAGAGACAGGCAGTTTAGATAATTACAGAGGGATATCAGTGTCGAACAACAAGTTCTGACCTGAGTTTTAATGATTTTTTATACAATAAGGTTTCTTTTTAACCCATTGCAATAAAGCAACCTTTATGTTAAGAGGAAATAACGCTGCTAACACGTGCCATTACTTGGCAGCCTGTGCACTTTGTAAACCTGGAGGTTTTCTGGGACATTAACAAGATTTGCCCTTAAGGTGTAGCTGTGTTCAAGCACCTAATTACATGACATATTACTTACAACTTATCAAAGAAAGACAAATTACACTGCACCTACATATGATATTAGCAAAGAAACGAGTTCGCCCTGAAATGAAATATTCACCGATGTAGTAACTAGGTTTGACCACTAGAGGTCAGAATGTCATTTTTATTTAATGCCCTGAGCCTGACTGATGAGCTGAGATCTGAGCAGCAGGAGGCCATCGAGCAGATGTTACTTCTCTCCATCACTCACACGCCGCTCTGTGCTTAAAGTCTCTAAATTGAAAGGGCAGACTGGGGGTAATTTAATGTTGTCCTTGAGTCTAGAGTTGTTTGGATTTCCTTGGCCAACTGCTGTCCATCTTCTATCTTGATGGTGAGAGATTGAAGTTCTGCTAAGGTCCAAAGTGAAGCTAAAGAGGTCGCTTAGAATGACTGTTGTTGTTTGGACAGTAGTTGGCACTGTTTTGGACTAAAAGGAACTGAAAGGAACAAAAACATACACAATAACATTCTGATTTAATGCTAGATTTATAGTGTTTTTTTAATTAATCCCTTATTCATCCCATAATAGGAATTTACAGTGTGAGTCTCTTTAAGATACTGCCACAGGAGGCACCATTAAGTTTGTGGTTTATCTGGGGCTTGAACCCAAGACAGTAACTAAGGAACTGGTTTATGTTGCATAGTATTTGGAATACTATCTTGACTAGTACAGAAAGTTAAAAATCTGTAACCTCGTGTTCAACCCAGACTCTTTTTACTGCAGTCCAGCTGTGTGCTTTATAGTTACACTGTTTTTTTCTTTATAGGCCATCAACTCTTACAAGTATGACTCAGTGATGAGGCGACTGCTCAACCAGCTCAACTTCTACATCATGCCTGTCTTTAATGTGGATGGATATCACTTCAGCTGGACCACGGTAACGTACTGCACGCTTTCACACCAGCACCAAACTGAAGCTTTGAATGTGATGTGACGTGAGTTAAAACAATTGAAACAATTTAAATGGAGTGTAAAATACAGGAAGGAAAAATTACCCAGTCAGCCAACAGATTTGGTAAAATATGAAAGCTGTGTTCAAGTGGATCAAATGCTGCAACAAAAGTGAAAAGGTTCAATGCAGACTCATTATGCAGCACTTTGGTCTGTAAAAGTCCATATGTAATAATAATACCTTCAAAATACCACAGTCTCCATACAGACTGAGAGGAGCAGGTCTGCCGGAGCTCGGTGAGTGAGTGACAGACTAATAGTTTTAGACTAGGTAGGAAATGGTATTTGTGTGATAAGCCTGACAGTGAGCGGTTACATTTTGAAGGTGTTTGAAATTCCTCCCCTGCAGGATCGGTTCTGGAGGAAAACAAGGTCCAAAAATCACAAGTTCCACTGCAGAGGCGTGGACGCTAACAGAAACTGGAAAGTGAAGTGGTGTGGTGAGTTTTCTACCAAACGCAGACATGGATAAGGTTTTTATTCTTAAAGTACATTATTGTGGTTGCTTGTATGATTTGTATGAGCGTGGGAACTTGAAGGAATAATGACTCCCAGTCAAGCGCAGCTTTTAGGTTAACACACAGGATTATGACCTTGGGTAATACTTCTCTTCTACTGTCGAATTACATAAGACATACTATAACAGCAGATTTTTCCGTAGTCTTGTGTATTGCAGGCAGAGAATCTGGCCATTTGAGTACTCACATTGTTAAATGTAACCACTTTTAACATCAGTGACAGTTTAATTATGTTTAAGATATGCTGCTTCAGTGAAATTACTAAAAGAAGGCAAGACACTGACAGCATACGTTTCACTAAGGCACTAATTCTATCTTTCAAGCTCTTCTTTACAGGATGATAATACTTTTTTTTTTTGCATTAATAACACCTTCACATCAAGGTCACACAAGCTGGTGTTCACTGCGTATGCACAAAAATATGCTAATGTAGGATGTTTGTGAAGGAGACCTAACTCTGAGCTACTGAAAACACCACACAATGGAGAAGCTGTCTGAATCTCAATATGTGTCAGTGGGATCTTTGTTTCTCTAAGCACATTCTCCATGTGCAAAGGCTGCCTGCATAGTCACTACAGCTGGAGAGGCTCCAAGAATATAATAAATACACATCACTGCAAAACTGCTTACCTTTATTTTGAAAATCTGGACCCATGACCTCAGATGTTTGCTCCTTTTTTTTGCTCCTCAGAGGAAGGTGCCTCGTACCATCCCTGCGATGACACCTACTGTGGTCCTTTTCCCGAGTCAGAGCCTGAGGTCAAGGCCGTCGCCAAGTTTCTGCGTAAGCACAAGAAGCGTGTGAAGGCCTACATATCCATTCATGCCTACGCACAGATGTTGCTCTACCCTTATTCCTACAAGTACGCAGCGATCCCAAACTTCGACTGTGTGGTAAGAGAATGGTCTAAAGTGTTAATAAAAGTTGTTTCTAACACCTAGAACTGTTTGTTCAGGTTACTTAATAATCGATAGACAACTATCAGTAAGAGTGTAGGTGAAGATGGAACTTTCTTCATTGCTGACATTTTCTTAACTTTAAGCAGACCTGTGGTAAAAAATAAACAGACTGTGTTTCTTACCTTTATACAAACTCAAAATATCCTGACTTTTGTGCTACTCAACATTATTTTATGAGGTGACTACCTCACAAAGAATGGTGACGGAATATTTTTGCAAAGTCCACAGTAATGTGTACTGCTCACAGAGTAATCATTCATAAGTAACCAGTTTATGTTGCACTGCACTGTGATATTTTGAGCTTTTTAAAGAGGAAGAAAAAGCACAGTCTTACAAGTTAACCACCATTGGGGTCTTTGTAAGGCCAGGTTGTATTTACCACAAAGCAGAAGACCAACTCTGCTGCATTGTTATAAAATCCACCAGATTTTTCCTCTAACATTTGACATTTATTTAACCTGGTGCTAAATCTATTCATGTCCCTAACGAGCTGGCCTCACTTTGCAGGAGTCAGCAGCTCACAATGCAGTGACAGCCTTGTACTCTGCCTACGGAGTCAAGTACAGATATGGACCTGCCTCCACAACTCTGTGTGAGTCCTGCTTAATGAACTAAAGAGGAACTACGTTGTGACATCACTATTTTAATCCTGGTTTCTTCTCCTCACAGATGTGAGTTCAGGCAGCTCCATCGACTGGGCCTACAGGAACGGCATCCGCTACGCCTTTGCATTTGAATTGAGGGACACAGGATACTATGGCTTCCTGCTGCCTGAAACCCTCATCAATCCCACCTGCACGGAGACCACAAGGGCTGTGAAAGCCATCGCATCAGGTCTCCTAAAAAAGTGTGAGTCTTATAGGGATGTTTTTCCATATTTATAAAATCGTACCACAGCCTTCTGGACCAATTCCTTCACCGAAACTTATTTAAATGGCTTGTTTTCCTCAAAATCTTTTATAGTACACGACTAAGGGAAAAACTGCAAACATTTACAACATGGACTTGAGTCTGTTTTTTCTTTCTTTTTTTTTTTTGGTTATCCACCTCCATTTTTTTTCTGTTTTCTGGGACAATATGAAGTCACAGTAGCTTAGTTTTGTGTTCCAAAACCACAAACCGTCGCGCCAGTCTGTTTTACACACAGTGCTATGAAATTATTGTGGTTGTTCTGGAACCTCCAGTTGGACCAATGTACTACGACGAGTGGCATCTGACCTCAGATTTTATTATTAAATAAGCTTTTCTTTTATTCAGCTAAATGTTAGACAAATACAGTAAGCACTTGACACAACAGCACTTTTAGAAAGTACAATATCAACTTTGTCTTCCAGAAAATGCTTTCCATCAGACACATTTTAATTGCAGATCGGTGTATTGTTGTTCATTCATTATTCTGGAGACACTTTTAATTAATTCTTCTGTTTTCTCATTAACATTTTTAATCTCTCCGCCTAACGTATTGGTGTCTTATTCACTGCATCATTGATGTTGTAGATAATGTATTTGACTTGACTTGTTTTGGTCCTAATTGAGATTCCTAATTTAATGGAACATATTTTTCCTCCCATTTATGTTTTACACTCAAATATGAATATGAACGTCGGTCTGTTCCTAACTGTGTCATTACTCAGGTATTAACAATGCATCAGTGTCACGTTGTGTATGGTTTTTTTAAAGCTTTGATTATGGTATGTCAGAGTTTAATAAATGTACAATATTTGACTTAAATAAATGTTGCTACACATATTTATAATACATGATGATACATGATTATTTTTACACACATCTTTATCAAAAACACACATCTTTATTAAAACTTAATTAATTACATTTAAAGTGTAATGAATGAAAAATATCTGATTTTCTGTTTCCTTTCAGTGATAATAAATTAATTACATTTTAAGTGTAGTGAATGAAAAATATCTGATTTTCTGTTTTGTTTTTTATTTAAGGTTGGCTAACATGCAACAAAAGAATGCAATGGTTGCCGCAAATATTTAGTTAATCTGTTATTATTTGAATATCAGTTGTTTTACATTAGTGTGGATTAGACATGACAACCCTCCTCCCATTTCTCTCTCTCTCTCTGCTGCCTCACTGCGTCCAAGCTCACTCTCTCTCTCTCTCACTCACTCCCTCACTTCACTCGCTCGCTCGAACGTACGTGACGTCGCTTCCTCTCTCCAACATGGCGCAGGAGGCAGGTCGTTAATGGAAATCTGAGGGATTTACCCCACCTTCCGTGTTTTATTTATGTTTGTCTGTTCGGGGCTGCGCGGCTGACATTTGCCGAGGGAATACATCTGTGTTCGAGGCGGCTGCAGCCCTCTCACCTTCCCCCTCACCCCCTTCCTCACCCTCGGGACCAGGCTCTCACACACATACACATCCATACACACACAAACACACGCACACACACCTCGCCCCAAATTCCGGTGCGACATGTTTGAGGGCAAAAAGACGAAAAACATGTTCCTGACACGAGCTTTGGAAAAGATCTTGGCCGACAAGGAGGTGAAGAAGGCGCATCACTCGCAGCTGCGCAAAGCCTGTGAGGTCGCTCTGGGTAAGTTGTGTTGTTTTAGCATCACATTTCAGACACGTCATTCACTTATTCACCGGTTTATCCCGCAACAACGGCGCAGCCTTGTAGCCACTCGGTATAATGTCCTCTTTATTAACAGCTACAGTCTCGCCTCGGAATGAGTGCCTTGACGTTTTGTTTCAATTAAAACCTGCGTTTTCCATTCAGATAGACGTGGCAGGGGCTAGGAAGTGGAGATGATTCCGTATAAAACACGGAAATGCTGCAGGAGGAGGGGTGGGTGTTTGCAACATTCAACGAATGATGCGATGTGCAAACAGGCCGAGCACAGGGCAGAATAAAAGTTAATGAAGGCTGTGTTGTCATCACATCAAAGCTTAGCAGAACGTACATCACAAACATTCGTCAAATTAAAACAATATCAGTTTAAAGTGTCCACTTGTGTGTTCTTTTATTACCATGAAGACGACGCGTAAGGGTCTCTTCCTGGTAGCCGGACGTGGTCAGTGTGATGATGACAGTTTTTCTTTTATAACATTGAAATTATTTATTCGTTACACATTTATGGAGTTAGTTGTCACTTGCCATGTTTACCTTTTCGTTGCAAAAATACATGTAAGGCTGGCATTGTGACAAACGGATGGTTGACAGCTGTCAGTAGCACCTTCATGCCACAGGGACGTCAAGTTGAAGGAAATTAAAATAGATTTCCCGTGAAGCCCTAATCGTAAAATACATGAACATACTTTAAACAGTGGTTGCGTCTTTAACAAAGCTAATTTATGTTTTTGTGTTTTACCTGCTACGTAGCTAAATTAACTGAAACACTCGGAGTTTTCTTCGATAGGTTTACATCTACTATACTTTTATTCTGAAGGCAATATCCGGTTATTATGCCCATACATGCGTCGACTTTCTACACAATAAATAGTGAGCAGGTGTATTTGTTAAACATGTTCTTTACGGGCGGGGATAACTGTTGTTTACAAGCGTTTAAAAACCGAAAATGGAACAAGGTGCAGTTTAGATAAAAGTTAAAGTTGGAGAATTAAAAAAAGGTTATCGGTTTTTAGTCTTTCTTGATTAGTCCCATGGCGATGTGTTCATTGCCTAGGGCGTTATCGTCACAACTGTTTCCCCTGTTGTTTTTTTATTAGTCAAAGTAGACCCACTAGATGTCAGTAATTTAACTTGAAGAATCTCGACCTCCAATTAATGCCAGAGACTTGTAGGATGAGAGGGCTCTGCTGGGTTATTTTATATTTTAGAACACCTAAATATAAAGAATAACACAGAATAAGCTGTAAAATGACTTTGGTTGAAATGTGCACTAGAGGTGACTATGACTTGTAGTTACATACGGAGCCATATGGTGACCAGTGTCCTAGATGTGTCTGTTTCAAGGTGTATTTCTTACATGTACTGTGTAATTATTATTCTCCTTAGTCAAATGTGTTATTTTTCTTCTACTGTAATATTTACAACTATGTTCCAAGTGCCCCCTGTGTCAAAGAACGGGCTTAATCGGGCCAAGCACGTAAGAAATGTTGCATACTTTACTTTAACATAGTAATGTCAGTCTTCCCACATGCCTCAGACTTTTCCACCTGTAACAAAGCGGGGGTTTGTCCTGCTGTGGGGAGTAATATGACCCTGCCTGCGAGACAATAAACTTATGCTGTGCAGCAGCCAAACCGTCTACCTGTGCCGGGCAGTTGCCACAAGCTTTTCCAGCACATTGTTGCACTAGCTCCACTGTGGCCTTGAAGGCTATATATACCTGTGTTGTTTGTTTAAGCTTCGTGTTATGTTAAGCAAGGACGATTAAGCCACACAAATTATATATTCCTTCCTACACCTCCTTGTCAGTAGAATAGTCAAGACAAACCTGCACACGGTCCGACAGGTTAGGCTTCACAGGAGGAGTACAAAGGAGTACAGTTCTGTGGAGCATGGATTTAAACTACAATTACTCTCTAATTCAGAATTTGCTGCTTCACTGATCTGGAGGAAGTCGATATTGTTTACCTACATGGGTTTTAGAGCATTCATTAAGCATGTGTTGATGATTCCATTAATGACAGTTGTGATTGTTGTAATTTAATCATTTACTCTGTCTTGGTCTTTATTGAGAAACAAAAGATAATAACAGGCTTCAATAACAGGAAATTATTCAAACACTGACCCTGGTACAGCTGTTCCATTACTGACAGTTTGTTCTTGTGATTCCAAATATTTACCTAGACCTTAAGGCTAGTTCATATTTGGTTTCTGAAGTGTATCCTCTTCATGTTCAAATAGTTGATATGAAAATTAAAATAAGAAAGTAGAAACGTCTGAAAAGGGCTTTTAGACTGAAGTTTCAGGCTTGTTTGGATTGCTTGCCTCAGAGAGCTCCACTCTCAAAACACAGAAAGAACATGACTCTTGACAAATGCCAAAAGACAAAGAAGACGGCATACAGTAGCAGATCTGGTTTGTGAAGACGTGACCCATAACTATGTGATTGCCAGAGATTTTGAAAACGCAGTGGAAAATAAGTGATGATCTGAGAAGTTTGAATGAGAGGGTTAATTTCAACAGCCAGAATTGTTTCAGGGGCTAATTTCAACAGCCAGAATTGTTTCAGGAATACAATAAGTGAACTATTTGAGAATTACCCTGAAAAAGGGGAACTACAATTGTGAACACATTCGGTGAACTAATTTTTTTTCAGGCGTTGCCCAGTTTTGAAGGCATCAGAAAGAGAAGATTTGTTTACGGGGGATAAATGAAGATATCAGTTACTGTCTGCAGCTTCAGTTCCGAAATATAACTGAAGTTGTTCTCCGCTTGTATCAAGCAGCGCTGTTCACAGAGAATGTTTTTTATGTGATGTTCCAGGTCAGTTCAGGTCAGGACAAACACTTATCATCTACAGAGCAAAAACCATTCTCTCCAAGTGTCTGCTGATTTTACCGTAATGGTGAAGCTGGATCATTTTCTTCCACTCTGCACACTAGCACTTTTTGCAGTATGAGTGTGTGTATGATTGGGTAAAAATGATTGGGTGACCCAGTAATTCTGGATGACTTACATAATCCCCTCTTTCTTTTGGCCTTCTGAGACCTGTCAGAAAATCTGCTTTTAATTCTGTCTCTTCTTCAGCTGTCAGTCAACAGCTTCCTCCTGCAGAGTGCTTTGGGTTTTTTTCCCCATAAAACATCCCCTCGTATGTTGTCCATCTAGTTTCTGATGTAGTCAAGCCGGCAGCTAATCGATGCAAGTTTGTATTGTTTACAGTATAAACCCAAAGTGCCGCGTGCAGACCACTGTTGTTAATCAGTTTACCTTCCTTCCACGCTGACCCTTTACTTGGTTTATCAAAATGTCACTCAGCGGGCTCCCAAAAGGAGTCTCATTTTCCCGCACTCTCTCCAAACTGTAGCAGCTTATCAGGGTTCTTTTATCTTATAATCTGTCAACTTCTCTGAAGAGAGCTGTCTGATAGTAAGGAGCAGAGAGGAAGACTGACAGTCAACTCAAAAGTCTCTTTTATACCAGACATTCTGTTACATTACAATCAAGTAAATCCCTGAGAAGATGACACAATAGCTGTTGCTATGTATGATTTCTGATAGCAGGCATTGACTCACAGGTGTGGCCTGTAAAATAGCAGCTTCACTCACTGTCCTGCCATGCTGCCGTCCAATACATGTGACTGCCATATTACTTCAAGGGTAAAAATATTTTTTGTCTTGTCCTGTTTGGGTTTCTTTTTACAGTGCAGAAGATGTATTCCATAACTAGACAATCTTAAAGTGCAGGTAGATTAGTTCTTTTTATCATAAGGCTCCTAACTAAGTGCCATTTTAAAGCAAAATCCTCTTTCACACACATTGAAAAGCTCTTCTGCTGAATGCACACCAAAAATATATATTTCTTTTCTCCCATTCTTGATTAAAGATTTCCATCCCCAGCAGCAAAGTGAAATATTTCACATTAGTTTCTTGTTAAAGGTTTTATTCCCCCTGTACCCCATCACCTTTAATTTTAACCAAACTCAAGTCAAAATCTGTATGACGGGGTTAAAAAAATACTTTAACAACACATTATAACAAATAACTCTAGTAAGTAATTCTCATCTAAGGCTGAATTAGCTAAAAGGAGACAAAATGATCCAGAAGGCTACATCCAGCCCTGGTATTCTTTTTCCTGCCTTTATTCATGGCAAACCTGGCACCGGCCACATTTACCTTTCATTATTTTAAAAAGGTGAATGCATGCCTCTCCACGATAAGCTGCACCACGGTCACAACATGCTGGCCCACGATAAGCACCAGGCTATAAATGGTTCCACATTTTAATGAGGGTTTTTTAACCACAATTCCCAACAGACCCGTGCTCCTGCTTCTGCAAATACAAAGCAGAAAAATATGAAAGCAGACTGTACTGTCGCAGAATAATAACAGCTCTCCTGATTTGTGTACCTGACAACTTTTTTCCGTATCCTTATCCTTCTTATCCCTGACAGAAATTTGTCAACCCTGAAGTTGGGTTCAGATTTCCATTCAGCGCAGGAACACCAGGTAACCCAGTGATGAAACTGACAGGCAGTGCATTGGATAAGGAGGTGTAAATGAGGCGGAGGGATGGCAGGTGTCAGCTGTATTTATATGTCATCTGTATTTGTCAGGGTGTCGTAAATGGCACAGACACAGTCAAGCCCTGAGGTTTGTTAAATTGTTTGACTTTAATGAGATATGTGTGCGCATGTGTGCGCATGTGTGCGTCCGCAGCCAAGTTCATATTACACCAACGGTGGAGTTACACGCAAAATAAAGAAGGTGTGGTATTGGGTTTCTCTTGAAGAAGATGTAGGTTTCTACATCTCACATCTTGCAAAAGTGAAACAATTATGTATCTAACTATTACAGGCGTGGCTGTCCTTGTTAATGGAAAATAGATTGTGGTGACCTGATCAAAGCCTGCAGGAATCTGACTTTTGGAATCATCTGAGCTTGTGGATTGGGTGTGGCTAC